CATGTATTCACCTTTTGAAGGAAAAAAGAGTTTGGAATAGGGCTTTCGTTTCATGATCATGATAAAGAAAGACACCACTAACTAAGAAAAAGCACCACGATGAATACAAATCCCATTCCACATCCCTATTTTCCTTCAAACACCTAAAAAGTTCTTAATTCCCGTAATAGATAGTTATGTTCATTTAACAAGTCAAAAGGTGCATTTGTCATAGTCAACAAAAGGTTTAGCGAGATGGATATTGTATATGTCAAAATTGGATTAACAGCATAAAGAAGTGCCTTCCTCTGTCACAATAGGTTTCGACCTTTTTTATTTATTTATTTATTATTATTATGATTCGATCCTCTTGTTGAATCTAGTCTTTTTTTTTCCCTTTTCTCTCAAGTCCTTAGAAATTCTCTTATAGTTTTATCACTGTGCCAGAAAACATTTTGAGTTATGGGTTATTTAAATATCCCATCGTGAGGCATTACAACTTAGTCCATTTTCTTGTCTCAAATAATACCGTACTTTTGCCTTAGAATAATTAATGGACGAGTTACTTACAATAAACCCTTTCCCTTCCCATTTAAAAGCAGCAGGGTAAATGATTTTAACAGTTCCTCAATTTTTAAAAAGTATTTATTAAGCCCCTCAACTTATATGTTAGGTTCTATATGGTCCCTCCAAGAATCAAAGTGCAATTTTCACTTTGTCGTCCTCAAGTGAGAATTACCATATTTAGATTTGGCATTTGCACATATGTCTAGTGTAATGTAAGCCCTCTTATTTATGAGAGTATATTTCATTTTTCTCCGTATGTTTAAACTGATATAGGGATCTGTCAGTAACACGATTGACCTAAAAATATTAATGGATAAGGATTTCTTTGAAATTATGCTTCAGCATAAATTTATGGAATTTTTATAGAATTATTGGTGTCAAATGTTAAACCAAGAAGAATGTTAATGTTTTTAATGAATTTCATCACAATTTCAATCGTACAATTCAGTTAATTATTTGTCAAATTCAAGTAGTTATGCATATAATGGCTAAGTCAATTGAATTGAGTTATCACGTTTTCCTGCGGCCGCATTATTGTTGTTTAACTTTTGCTAGATTATTTATAACCTATTTTCTGTAGAGACATCTAGAAGCAATTTAGAGATTGGTTTTATTTACTGCCACATGAATAGGTGTCAATCACGAAGCAGAATGACGCTTACTTGCACATCCCCACCACAATGCATGGCGCAGTGTATACTTCCAATTTGAATCAGCAAAATTTGCCGTCAATCTAAGCTACAATATCTTGTGGGAAAGTAGCTTACCTGGGGAAGTTGAAAGAAAGGCACAGGCAGATTTGAGCTGTAGTTACCCGCAATTGTATAGTTTAACTAATCTCAGTTGATACTCCCTCCGTCCCACTTTGACAGTCCTGATTTTTTTCCACACAGTTTAAGAAAAAGTAGTTAATTTTGTTGGAATAATCAATTTTGGTAGCTATTTTCTTAAAACACCCTTACATTAATAAGAGTATAACTTTATGGGAACTTGAATTGATGGTAAAAAAAAAAATCAGCTCTCATTAAATGGAGTAGGTTTATAGCAACAATAACTTACATTGAAGAAGGGTATTTTAGAAAAATTAAAATACGACTATATTCTTTAATTAAAAAGTGGACTACAATTTGAGACAGACGAAAAAGAAAAATAGGACTATCAAAGTGGAACGGAGGAGATACTAAAAAGGGAAAAAGTCTTAGTGATTCTGGAACTTTTATTTGTGTAAAGTTTTAACTCTCAAACAATTATGAGGAAAGTTTTAACCTCCAATCGAGCAGCGTCACTTGTGACGCACGAGCAAATAGCGTATAGCAACTGCAGTATTGTCGGTGCTGGAGCATTTATTGAATAAAAGGCAATAAAAACACTTTGACCTAATTGATTTTCCTTAATTTAGATCGATCACTTTCCTCCAAAGCCCTCAATTGGAAAAATTAAACAAGAGGATCGAAGAACTTTCTACTTGCATTAGAAGGAGAAAACAAGTGCTTAATTCATCTTATACTTGTTGGGATTGTAATGATGCACATCGGAGAAAAGATTGGTGGCCCGAAGAAGAGGCTAGAAAATCCTCTATTTTTTATAAACATCGTATGCAGATTCCTATGAATTTCTGCCAATGTTGTATCTGTGAGCTGTTGTCCACTTTGATGAGGATGCCTCTTGCCGTCAATCTCTAGGTATAGCACATCAGGCCCCATGAAACATAGAAGCTTCATTGCCTGATCATGAGAACTGATTATTTCTTTTTTTTTTGTTATGAGCCCAAGGCAGGGACTTTGGCACCCAATGTGGTGTTGGATTAATCAACTTTCTCTGAAGGAATTGGCCACCACATGGATTATGGGTGGGAGATCAAAAATTCAAATCTTACCTTTCATTAATGTGTCACTATATGTGATTTCTTCTAAATCCATACAAGTGTGTGGTACATCCATATGATCCGATAATGATTCAGTCTCCGTCGATTCTCTCAACGCAGTTTTGTTACCTCCCTAGAGTAGGCTCGAGTAGAAGTAGGAGTAAGTTAGGATACCACCAATCTAGTTCGATGATGGTTCAGTCTTCATTGAGACTCTCGATCTAGTTGGATCACTCCCTCTAGAGTAGACTCGAGTAGGAGTAGGTTAGAATAGATTAGATGTGCCGTTACAAAAAAAAAAAATATTGTGTTGGATTTGAAGAGGTTATTGCTCCCATGGTATAAGAGATCTTTCTACCTCCTCTGCCTCTGCAGCTAGGGATTGAAGATGGGAAAGAAAGTTACCTTTTACTCAGACAAATACTTTTGCTCAGACCGAAATGCCCTTATTAATCTCTCGTGTGTTACACATAACTACTGAAATTGATAGAAGGACTAATAATTTGCATTTTTAATATATCGGGGATAAAAAATTTTCTTATAATTGTTGAAGAGTTAAAACTTTAAGCGACTAAAAGCAAAAAAAAAAAAAAAAATATATATATATATATATATATATATATTGATGTTTCTTGCCACAAAAAAATGGAAAAAAAAAGACTCTTGATGAATCATGAAAACGGCTGTGGAAAAACATCAATTTAGGCTTCATACAACTAATCCCATAAGATCCTAATGTCCCATCTCAGAAACAAATTAAACAATATAACAAAATTTGATGTGTGAATTGAAACACCAAAATTACTCTTTAACATTCCCTAATTTTCATCCCACACATTTAGAGTAAAGCAATTGGCCATGAACAATAATCAAAACAATCAGTCATATGAAACATACTCAAGAATTATCAATGAAAGTCACTCTTACAGAACAAGAAATTAACCAGCAAAAGAAGATACATGCCTTTAGAGTTTGCATTGTAATAATAACGTGAACCGTTAGCATGCAATGAAAATCAATCAAAGAAGTGGAAATTTTAACACAGGAAAATCGGGAAAATAACCTCAAAAATGGAAAAGTAAGACATGAATAAATGCCTTAGACAATCTGGAAATTGATGAACTGAAACATGTGGTCAACCTTATAAGCTTGGTTATTTACACTATTCTCACTCAATCAACAAAGTTCTAATGCATAGTAGCAATATATAGGATGTGAACTCGAACTGGCTATCGGCACGGTTGCCCATTTTGTGGTAGACAATCTTTCTGCAAGCTAAAATTGTTCACAAGGTAAATTTTTGGACTTTAGTATCTTTCTCCTAGATATCAAAAAAAAAAAAAAATTTCACTAAATTCATCCTTTTATCCCAAGACAGAAGTATACTGTGATACGGAATAGTTAGAATCCAAATAGTATCACTTGGATGCATATGACACACATGGGTAGGATGGATGGATGGTGCAACAACTTTTTTGGTAATGAATATCAGCCAACAAGGATTTTGGTTCGGATGGCATCTCAATCAAATTGTACAGTTGAGAGAAACAGACCATTGTTTCTCAACCAGGGAAAGAGAGTCACTGAATAGAAACATCTCAGGACGGTTTAGTTGGGTTTGGAGTGGCAAATTAATGATGGGTTTCATGTTTCACAAAATTTGTTTCTCACCTTTTGGTCTATCTCTAGTCCAAATTTATGACGGGTTTAGAGTGGCAAATTTTGTTGGTTGAGCTCTCATCGTCATCACAAAATGATTGTTTGTGATGCAATAAAAGCTTGATAAAAGTTGGTCTCAGAATTCCATTTCTTCTTTTCTATGTCCAAAGAAAAACAGTAGCAGTCAAATTAAGCAAAAAATTATTAAGGTCATGCAGTAGATAGAAGGAATATTCTATTTTTATCTTCTTGTAGTAAATTCTACGTAGTTATACGATTTTCTTGGCGTATGGCTATTGAAACGTTGGGTCAACGGGCCTACAACTTCTTTAAAAAAAAAAAAAGCCATGTTGGTCCTAAGCCAAATAAAAATGCAACAATATAGCAATATTCATCCCTCGCATGATAATTATTCTCCTATGAGGATGGATTTAACTCGAAAATGGCTCAGAAAACCAGCAGCAAGGCCGAAAGAGGGATTTTCAACATTTAGCTTCTTTTAAAATTAGTCCTTCCTATCGTCACTGTGTATTTTTTCCATTAGGTGAAACTTCCAAGTATAAGACGTTCGATGATTATGTTTTTTGACCTCCCACTTACCAAAAAAAAAAAATTTTTTTTGACCTTTTGAAGTTCTTGGACGTAAAAATGGAAAATTTAGCTGTAAACTCTACGAGGACTCAGAAAACAAATTTATTTTTTTATTTTTGTTGGAGGGTACCGCAATTATATAAAAAAAAATAGATAATCTCATCATGTCCAAACAAATTAGAAGTTTTTAGATGGTCTACTTGGACCGAGATTTTTTAATGTTGGACACCTATGAATGTCTTGCTCTTCTTTTTTTTTTTTTTTTTTTTTGGTAATAAAAGGGACTATATATTTAAAAAAAAAACTTAAGTTATATATATTATTCAAGTACACAATAGAGACTAGTCAACAGGACTACATGGAAAAACAGGATGAAGTAAAACACAGAAAAAGCAAAACAAGTACAGAAGATCGGCCACAATGTCATAATTTTCCCTTAACTATGCATTAAGGTCCTCTTGCTCGGGGCAGTGGCACTATGATGCACTATCAGACACTTTCAACAAGTCTGATACTCGTACTGCCAGACTCTTCCTTGTAGAAGGTGAAACACCATCCCTGCCAATAATGCATTCCAGCACTGTTTCAGATAGTAGTTTGTTCTCCACAACTCCACTGCTAACCTCGGGTATGGAATCATGCTTGGAGAAGCTAATTCTTAGTGATCCAAGGGGTGATTGGGAGTACAGGATGGAGTCACCAGGTTGGAAGGACTCATTCTTGAAAATATCATGGAACTTTTCAATAGCTTTATCCTCTGCATCAGTGTAACTTCCAATTACTTTCAAGTAATCGGCACAATCTTCACTTACTTTTTTCGAGAATTCCTCACCCGTCAAGGGCTTCAAAAATGTCAAACTAATGAACTTCTCAAAGGGACCTAAAAACAGCAAGAAAACAAACAAAAAAGTCATAGTCAATTACTCAGTTTCACGTACGGCGTTCTTGCCGTGATTGGGCCTCTCCTTACTCATCTAATAAAAGAGAAAAAAGAAAATAAAGTTGTGTTGCCTGTGATGATGTCCCTGAAGAACTCAACAGATTCCATCAACTCCTCAGCAGTCTTGCCCTTCCACTTGGTGGCAAGCGACGGAATTGCAGTCTCCTCCAAATACACTCCAGGAAGTGAGAACTTGATAAACTTGCCTTGAATTTCCAATCCTCTATACCCCGCGCCTCCAAGAAAAAAGGTGCCGTTGGAGCCTGAAGGCTTCATGGATGAAGGGAACACGTGGCCCTCAACTTCAACTTCGCTAACGCAGAATGCCGGCGCCATTAGTATCATACAACCTCAACTCTGGAAGTCTGGTAGTAATTTGTAGAGGTGGAAGAAGAGGTAGGAGTAAAATTTTCTGAACGGATTGTTGGCTTTGCTTCTTACATGGAACTGTAAGATGTTTATTTATAGAGGAAGACCTCAAGGCATTATTGGTATCTAAGTCTGGTAAATACGACAAATTGTATCATAATATCAAAAAAAGAACGTGTTATTGTACCCCATTTCACAAGTTTATCTTTGGTGGCCAGATGGATTATGTGCAGCATCCATAGAACCCCCCAAAAAGGAATCAGAGATTCGGAATCTAAGTCTTCCCTAGAAATATATAATATTAAGGGAATTCATTCCAGCTCGTAGCTTCAAAGTTAATGTTTGCCGAAGAAAAGAACTAGAATTCAAACAAACTACCATTTCCCTGAAACATGGATTTCAACAATTCTGAATTGATATTTGTTGCTTGTCGTACACCTTTTGCAAGCGGCAGAACAAGTTATCCTTGTAATTATCTCAGTGGACCTTCTGAAACAGTTGTGTCATTCAAAGATTTTGAAATCTTTCATTCATTTCTTTTCAAGATAAAAAACTGTGGCAGTATGTCCATTGCCGACCTCTTGTTGTTGGCTAAAATGCCTCTTGTATTCGAAACATAGTTTCCCCCAGCTTCTGTATGGTCTGCCTTACTGGCGGTCTCATGCACAACGAATTTCATAGCCTACTCCACAGCATTTAACTAGAGTCATAGCAAAGACTCACGTCGTCAGCTTTTAGTTCCAATTGCCTGAGAAGATGTAAAAACCACAATTTTGAACATAGATACGATGACGAAGACACCATTATAATCAATTATGTACAAAACTGCGGTGGTAACAAATGGGGTCTTATCACGCGTTTAGAATATATAATTTTCAACTTTTCATCTCCATTTACAATCTTGACATGGTTAAAACAGTGCCTCAAGCAGTTCGGCTGAGCCCTCAACCATACATGAGATAAATTACAGTTGATTAAACAATATCAGTAGACTAGAAGAGGCGTGCTGATATCTCGCACTCCATCATAGAAGAAACTATAATTAGGGGTGTTAAAACTTTGGAAAAAGAAAAAAGAAAAATCGTCCAATCCAATCTAGATGAAGCAAATTTGCTGACATATCTCATAGTACGCTTCATCAGCCAACGGTTTAATTTCACTTTAACTTAGTCGGACCCACAATATAAAGAGCAAAATCATGATTCATCCATTGGGTCGAAAGATGAACCGAACTTTTTGATACTCTAATCGAATTCAGTTTGGTAAGGGTTAGTTCGAACTTGATTCACCAACTAATCAAGTCAATCTTGAATAGCATTTTATATTCGATAACATTTAAAATAGATGAAAAGCACGTTTAAACTCTGTTCGGCAAATAAATAAGTCAAATTTGATTAATTAAAATTTTAAACTTATTAAAATAATCAAATAAGATTGAATATTAGGATGTCCGGCTTGATTAGTCTTGTTTACACCCCTACTCATCCCCTCTCCTCTAGTCTCACGGGAATTCTAGTTCCACCATGCTCAGTTTACGGCAGAAATAGTTTCCAATCATCAACCGATGGTTGCCTGGCAAAGTTTGTGAACCCAAATTTCCACGAGACTCCAAAAAAAATATTCTGCTAGAGCTGAGAAAATTCTAAAATTATTATGAAAATTAAATTTAATTCCACATAGTTTAGATTTTCATTCTGGGGACTGATTCTACTATCCCAAGTCAACCTTTAAACTGGTCAAGTCAAGCACCACTAAAAAGCAAAATGAATTTCATGGATTGAAGCATTCTAAGTCCACAATGTAATTGAACTGGAATAAAAACAAGCAGATACAACCTTGTAATACGAATTTTTAAGATTACATATACTATCCTATCGTTGCTATTTCACACATTTGGAACTAACTTCTACAAGTTTCATACGTCGGACAACTATCAAAGCATTTGTGCGAAGAACTTATAAGCCTAAAACAATCTATGACAAAGCTGAAAAATGCCTTCCAAAACTAGATTTAAAAAACGTATATATCAAGTTGACGACATCTCCAATCACTTGCCGGTAGACGATAGTTATATAAACTGATGGAAACAGGTTTATCATCTCCAATCACCTTTTTTTTTTTTTTGGTTCGAAGGAACTGCCCACTGTTTGCAAGAAGAACGAAGAACAGAATCTTTCTTTACTTCTGCACGTATTATATTATCATCACTAGGATAAATTCAGAACCAATCCAGCAATAAGAAATATTGAAGGTCTAAAATTCCGATCAAAGTACCAATTCCCAGTTGACTTTTTGAAGCCCATTTCTTTGAAACCCCGCTATAATAAAAATGGAAAATACGAGATGGGTCCAAATTAAAGAGAAAATGACTTGTGACTGTGAAGCAATAAGGTGTACTTAATCTGGCTCCAAGTTAAAATACTTTCGAGGATTTGGACCTATAACTTGGTTGAACAAGTCATGCTGATCCAAGCCAAATGCCAGGACAAGAAGATGGCGTAGCTTACCCCTCACAATAAGGTTGGATTTCAACTAAAAAATGACTAAGTAAACACGTACACGATTAAGTCGGAAAGAGACATTTTCAGCATTGAGCTTCTTTCTTTTAATCAGTCTTATCCATCTTTGCTGCGTACAGTGTGTTTTGTCTGTCGGGTGAATTGGATGGGACAACGGGCCTCATAAGTTAAAAAATTGTTCAGTTCAAACTGATTCGTGTAATTAATACAATATTTGATATAAATTCATACAATTTTCGTATAGTTTTGAATTTTATATAAATTTAAATATATAAGTTGACAAGTTCAAATTTATGCATAATTTATACGATTTTACAGCCAAAAAATGTAAGAATTATATCAAATGGTTTGAACTGGACGACGCCCAATTTGTGAGGCCCGTGATCCACATCAAAAGGACAACTTTCAAGGTTCATCACTTCTGAGTGTTAGATAGATGTTAATCTGATTATGTTTTGACCTTTTGAAGTTGGTCAACTTTCTGATACATATGAAGTGGAAAAGCAGATAAGTCTCAACTCGGTGAGGAGTGAGAAAACAAAAATTTATATTCTTTTTTGGGGAACCCAATGAGAAATTAGATAATCTGATACCATATTAGAAGTCCTTAATGTACTACCTAAAATGAGTTTTTTTTGAATGGTTATATCATGAAGTTTGTGACTGATAGCATCCAACCAGAGAACAGAAATAAACGGAGCTCTTAAACAAACCGGGCTGTTCGCAACTGTGGCTCGACTTGGTTCATATAAGCTCGAGTTCTGCTTGTTCATTTAAATAAATGAATTGAGTTTGAGCACAAAATTAGGTCAGCTTCGACTTCCAAACAGTTTGTTTAAGTCCGTTTAAGCTCCTTACATATTTGTTGGTCTTGATTGTTTAAAATTCGTGGTGCAAAAAAGCATTTGGGCACATTCCTCTATTGACGATTTTTTTTAGGTTGATTAAATTGGTTAAAATTATTGAGATAAATTTTATATAAAATATTCAAGCTCAAGCCTGCAGAAGCTCAATTTGTTTGTATTAAGCGAGTCAAACTTAAGGAATTTGGGATTTTCTTAATGAGTCGAATTCAAACACAATCCTAGTGAGTTAGATAACTAAGATGAGCTTGAGTTAGGCTTGTTTATTTAATAGGCCAAACTTGAATGCTAAATATTCAACTTATCTCAACTCATTTACTCATTTATAGCTCTAGAAATGAACAGATCAAAATTGAAGACTTCTCAAATAAGTAGTTTAGAAGTAGACACAAAAGAAATGCGCCTCTTGAGCAGTAGTGTGGGTGCAAGTGCAACCCCACATCAGGATGCAACATTTGAAATCAGTTGCTTTAACTATTGGTCAAGCGTAGTACATATTAGAAGCTGATCAAAAGAAAAACATGCAGTAAAGTAAAACAGTCATAAAGCCAAATGTATAGAATTAATATGGCCACAAACTCATAATTTTCTCATAACAATGCATTCATTAAGGTACTTTTGCGCCATTTTCTCATGGGGGCTTCTACACGATCAACGCTCCTTTATGCTGCTGCTTCCATAGCAATAGCCTCATCGCCTCAAGATTCTTCCTATCAGCAATGACACTGCCAAATACTTTCATCAAGTCTGACAATCTCAATGCCAGACTCTTCCTTGCAGTAGGTTAAACACCATTCTTGCCAATGATGGTTTCCAGCAGTGGCTAGTTCTCTACGACTCCATTGCTAACCTCAGGTACTGAATTATGCTCGGAGAAGCTAATGGTTAATGATCCAAGGGGTGACTAGGAGAATAGGATGGACTCACCAGGTTGGAAGGATTCATTCTTGAAAATGTCAATGAACTTAATAGCTTTATCCTCTGCATCACCATAACTTCCAGTTGATTTCATTTCAGGTAAGCAGTGCAATTTTCAGCAACCTTCTTTGAGAATTCCTGACCAGTCAAAGGCTGGAGTAGGTTCAACCTCGTGAACTTCTCGGAGGGACTTAAAAATAGCAAAGAACAAAATAGTTGCAATCAATTTCGCGGCCTCTTAGATTGAGAAGGAGAAGGTAATGCATGCTCCATGTGCATCATTTAAGATGCCATTTGATGCAGTAGTATCAATCACTAACCACCAAGTAATAAATGTGGAAGACAAGGTATAACTCGCTACCATTATTTAGTGATCAATAATTGACAATAATATGTCATGTAATCGTGCCAAATTGTGCATATGGAGCATCCAATATTTTCTTCTCATTAAGGATGCTGTTTTGTCACTTCGTGCTAGGGGCGCAGCCACACGGTTCTGAGGGCGTGCAATTGTGCCACTCAACTTTCAAATTTTCATAATTTTTTAAATTTATTTGACGTCTGAACCCCTTACATTTTGTAAGATTTCTTATCCGCCCTTATAAAAATCTAAAAGTCTTCCACCATTCAATTTCACAAGTCGAAAGTATCACTTCAATGAGGATTTCAAGATTCTAAGATAATCATATTCTATGGAGGTCACATTTCTCGAGGTGGTGGGAAGGTATCTTAATTACAGGCAAGG